CTCTCGCTCTCGCTCTCGCTCTCGCTCTCGCTCTCGCTCTCGCTCTCTCGCTCTCCCTCATAGTTTGAGGTTGCACACTGCATTCTCCTGTGCACCTTGTGCACTCTTCTTTTCTCACTCTCACACTCCACACTTCTTTGTGCATTCCCCTTTCACCCTCACACACACTCTTCTCACACTCTCACATTCTCTCCACTCTTTACATTCCCCCCTCTCTCGATTTCTCTCCACTTGCTCTCTCACCTTTCTCTTGCCCCAGTCTTTTATTGATACTCCAAAAGCAAGTAGAAAAAAAGACATTGTATAATCATCGCCAAATCAGATTAAAAAAAATAGCCACATACCACAAAGAATCAAGAATTACAATTGTTCCCCAAAGTTCCAAGCTTCCCCTTTTCCCATGCCTGTGGCCAAAATAATAATAATTGCAAATTTATCATTATTCTCTCCCCAAGAGTCCCAGTATTTTAACTTAGTTATACTAGCACATAATTTTATGTATTCTATACTTGCTTTTTATAATTTCAATAGTTTTTTTTCCTTTCTCGGGGTCTCAATGTTGGCTCTATTTCATTTTCTAATAATTTCTTCAAACTTTCTTTGCAAGTCAAGCATTAATCTGGAACTACCATTGTGCAGTTATTACATTGTTTCCAAGATGAGAGCACACAGCATGCACCTGGGCCATTAGGACTGTGCTGTGCTGTGCCCCTGTGCCTCAATTTTCAATTGCTTAAGAATCATTACATCAAGGAACAACTAGTTTCACAGAATTCACCAGAGCAGAAGGAGAAAGAAATAGAAAAGTCAGATATAATAGAATAATTATGCAGTCCCTTTTTTCAGATGACAAAACCCCTGGAGGGATGTGTCTCCTGCTTCTCAGGGTCCCAGATACCATCCTTTTTTACAAAAAGCTGCTGCTGGCTACTGAGATATCTCCATCCTGGCCTGCTGCAGGCAGTTCCTGTCATGTTATGCTGTCCCCAGCATATTATAAATCTTAAATTCTTTTATCAACAAGACTAAGAACCTGCAAAAGGGAACCCTAATACCTAGTAATATGTCTTGCTTAACTCTTTGGGATACAATCTGGACATCACACCAAAGACAACTCAAGATCCCCGTCCAGTTATACCAGCCTTTTATTACATTAATGATTTTTGCACAGGGCATTGTAATGAAAACCCAGAAAGTGGTTTTTGAAACAAAGACATTACCATTGTTTAATATCTAATAGTAGCATAAGATAATGTATTATCAGTCCTGAATTTATTTTTTTGAGTGGGAGGGGAGGTTGAGATAGCCCAGGTCTATAGCCCTAGTAGTCCTGGAGCTTGCTCTGTAGACCAAGTTGGCTTCCAACTCCCAGAGATCTGCCTGCCTCTGCCTCCAGAGTGCTGGGATTACAGGCGTGTGTCACCACTACCCAACTTGTTTGTTTCTTTCCTTTTAACTTACAAACTTAAAATAACTTAAATTTGTTTAAGTCTTAGGAATTAGAACTGAATTTATATTTAATGTTTG